TATAACCGCAGCCTACTTTTTCTCTCTCCATCTTACTTCCCCAGGCCCACCCCACCCTACTAAGCTAGATCTACTTACTTTGACTTCAGACTGGGGAGCCAGATAACCAGTGAACTGGAGTGCCATCTATTTAGATCTAGATCTAGATCTAGATCTAGATATCTAGATTCTAGATCTAGATCTAGACTAGATCTAGAATCTAGAATCTAACAATCTAAACTATAGGCTAGTCTAGACCTAGATTATCTAGAAGCTCGTTTCAGTAACACGACAATGATGATATGACCTGCTTCCTCTAGATCTAGATCTAGACCTACTTTTATGGGGAAATGCGAAACTGAAACTAAAACTGAAACCATGGCACAATGCAATTGGCTAGCAGAGGCAAAGGCGCGCCGACAAAAAATATTTTAAAAGTCCAGTCTCGATTAAATTTTCAACAAAGGGCCCTGTACCTCTCATTGAGACGTGTTTGATCCAAACAAGAGAAAGAAAACTGAGCCAGTAAATACAACAACTATGTCTGCAAATATAAGCTACTCACATCAGGGGATACAAGAAATTAGACACTAGTCACGAAGTACCAAGTCAAATGACATTTCGAAGGCCGCCATTGCATAAACATTAAACATTTAGGCTAAACAACAAGAACCAATCCGGGCCTCTGGGGGAGTTTACCGGAAGTCAACAGAGGTCTTGTTCCGTTCAAAGGGGTTGAAGAAGTTCAGGATATCCGTTTAACTTTAAGTTATCCAGTTATCGTAAAGATCTTGGTAATTATCATTGAAGTGCATTCAAAGACCGTGTATACAAAGATTATTACACTTTCTCTTTATTTTAGGCCTTTGTCCGCGGCCGTGGCGGGCTCGCTTTGCCGCGTAGCTCGTGATGGGCTACGTCATTAGGCGACGCGAGATTAGTTTCATCGCCGACTGCTTGGGGTGTGTGTGCGTGCGAGTGCGTGTGTTTGTGTGTGTGTGTGTGTGTGTGTGTGTGTGTGTGTGTGTGTGTGTGTGTGTGTGTGTGTGTGTGTGTGCGCGTGTTTGTTAGAACCGTACCCCGGTAGCAAACCCACTCGTGCTCGCAAGCCCTTAGTTCAAGTCACAAACCTCAAATCACTTGGTCAATTCATCAAATCAAATCATAAGCATGATAAGTTGAGTCTAGCCTAAGCTTTCAGTCCATACCACTGGCAATCCGCGAAGCCACTCGTGTCAGACCCCTTCATCCTCCCCTCCGTGCTAGCAATCCGCTTCGCCACTTACGTCAGAAAAAGAGAGAGGAGAGAGAAAGATGGAGAGAGAGAGAGAGAGAGAGAGAGAGAGAGAGAGAGAGAGAGAGAGAGAGAGAGAGAGAGAGAGAGAGAGACCCCGCTCAGAGTGTCACTGCACGGTAGAGTTGGAGTCTGCTCGATTAATCGAAGGCTTGCGAGCTGCGGGCGGCCGTCAAGTCTCAAATCTCGCTCGCAGCACAGCAAGTCTCAAGACTTGCTTTGCGTCCCATGTCTTGCTTTGTGCCCCTTGACTTGCTCGCACCCGGCAAATCTCTTGACTCCCATGATTTGCTTTGGCTCCCATGACTTGCTCGCAACCTGCCAAATCACTTGCTGCGGCACTACTGCTCGTAGTGTGAACTCTGAACTGTGGAGGAAGGGAGAGGCTGTGCTTGTTTTGGTGCGAGACGTAGAGAGCAGAAGCTATTTTTAACTTCCCGCCGTAGATCGGCTGAGCGAGTGGATGAAGTGAGAGAAGCGTGGTATTGTAGTAACAGAGAACTGGGTTTCTAGTAGTAATAAGTAGACTTTGATTACCTTAGAATGGAAAACTCCAGGGGTCGTTATGATTGGCTTTTGTATCGTATGCACGTAGCCTGTTTTGTAGATGTTTTACTGTCCGCGAGTCACAACTCACCGGAAGTTCCCCCCGGAAGCGAGAGGGAGGCAAATAAAAGCACATGCCTGCTCGCAAGCCTCTGGCGCAAGCCGTCCGCTGCTCGCAAGCCTTCGATTAATCGAGCAGACTCCAGCAGTGTGTGTGTGTGTGTGTGTATGTGTGTGTGTGTGTGTGTGTGTGTGTGTGTGTGTGTGTGTGTGTGTGTGTGGGTGTGTATACAACTTTGTTTGGGGAGGGGAAGAGGCGGTACAGAATGGTACAGGCTAAATCTATGGAACGAGAATTGCTGAGATTGTTTAATTAAAGATAACAAAAAGTAATACACAAATAAAAACAAAAAGACCACAAAAAAAAAGGAAAAGAGGTTGTAATTGATAGATCTCTAGGTGGATGAGAAGGAAGAAGAAAACCCTGAAAATCAATAAACAAAAACGAGGAAAATTATTTAACGATTTTAACGACTTCATGTTTCAATTTTTATAACAATGTCTTGCAGATTCAAACTGTCCTTGTCTCTTCTTAATAATACCAAACAGCAACTAGATCTAGTTGTTTCCCCATCATCTGGGTCCTTGAAATACGACGATTGGTGCTTTGTAAAGAGAGTCACATTACCTCTCTCGACAGGGGGCGTTTTCGATATTAGTCTTGTCAGATTGTTACATTTCTTAATGAAAGTTTGATTCTGACTACAATTCTCTGACCAAATTGACATCATAATAATATTATATGGATCCCTGTAGTCGTGCTGGGGGTAAAAGAAATAAACTCGCTTCCGAAGAGGATACATCGAAGAAATCTCTTGAAGACCCAACCTTGATTCCGAATAAAACAGTATTAAATCAAGCTGTTGAAAGCTTGTGCTTGACCGTTACATCTGATTTGGACATTGGCGACAGTGATTATGTATAACAATTATTTAATATTTTGGCCGGCTTTCCACTCCATGAGATGAAAGAAAACTTAGCATGCTTACATAATTAAAGCTGGGATATGGGTTATGGAAAATTGAATGCGGTACATGGTAAACAAGGGGTGAGAGACGAGAAACAGAATGCGGGATTTTGAAGATGGGATTATGGTCATATGTATATTATAATAAAGACTGTATGGCACCGGGTCAGCCTGAAAACCGACGCAGATAGAAAATAACAATTAAAACAATAATTCTTACTATAATAACAAACACCAATCTCTCTCTCTCTCTCTCTCTCTCTCTCTCTCTCTCTCTCTC